ATTCTGTTTGACCAACTCTCACAACTCAGTCCGGTATCATAAGACGCTCGCAGTTGGTTTAAATCCAGGCTAGTCGACCTCGAGCACCAATACAGAGTTACGTGCTCCAAACGGAACACAATCCTGACTCAGAAACATATTGATACCCTTTCAGAGCTACGAACCAATGATAACCTGATAATCCTACAACCAGACAAAGACTCCGGCGTTGTGGCCGTGGATAAGGCTGACTATCTATCATGGATGTAACCACTATTAAATGACACAACCAAATTCTGTCAGGATAATTCAGTAGACAATGCTGTTGAAGTTGAACGACGAATTAACAAAGAATTGCAAGCATCGCTGGAAAGACACTTCATTGATCAGTCAACGGCAAAGTCAATTACACCTAAAGGATCACATACTCCTCAACTGTATGGCTTGCCCAAACTTCACAAGGTTGGTGTACCACTGAGGCCAATACTATCCATGTCCAATTCACCACAACACAAGTTGGCACAGTGGCTAGCCCAACTTCTTCAGCCTGCCAGCAATCGATGGTTTGGAAAACTGTGCGAGATCGTTTTAAACCAATCGATTTACTCGATAGTTTGGACTGCAACAGTTTTGATATCGCCTCTTTATTTACAAATGTCCCTCTGATGCAGATGGTCAATGTAATTTGTCAGTATACTGACTCACACCAATTGAACATAGAATTGCCCACGTCCGAGCTAGAACGCCTTCTCCTATTATTCACAGCGAACGTAAGGTTCTAACTCCAGGGAACTGGCTACACACAAATCGATAGTTTTGCTATGGCCAGTTCACTCGGTCTGCTGCTGGCCTATATTTTCGTTGCCCACCTGGAGCAGAACGCAGACGCTGTTATCAGTCAGGCTCATTTCCATCGGCGTTATGTTGATGATGTGTTGTTAATTACCGATACCAAGGAGATGACAACGAGTATACCGGAATCAATAAACAGGCCGAATTCTAAAATAAGCTTCACCATTGAACACGACCAAAATGAAACCCTGGCGTTTTGGGATATTCTCATGAAGCACCAGAACAACGGTTGCTTGCTGCAGTCCGTCTACCGGAAACACACTTGGACTGGACAGTACCTGAAATTTCACAGTTTTGTGCCGATCCAGTATAAGCGGTGTCTGGTGAGAACTTCGTTCTATCACGCAAGAAGTGTCTGTTCAAGAGAAACTTTGACCAAAGTGATGTCATTGTTGAGAACCACACTCAAAGAAAATGGCTATCCATCGGCATTTGTTGAGAAATTCAGCGAACAAAAGCCGGCCGTCGCCATGTGTTCAACAGCCCCAAAACTAAATGTCTATCTCCGTTTGCCATACAAAGGTGATGACATTGCCACTCTGTTGAAAACCTGTCTCACGACGTCTTTGGGACGCATGTTCTCTGCAGCCCAACTGGTCATGCTGTTCGCTACCACCCGAATCCCAACACCACCGTTGAAAACACCGCTACCGCTCAACGCCAAATCTGACATCACCTATGAATTCTCGTGTGAGTGCCAGGCCACTCACATATGCAGAACGGAGCGGCAGTTACGTCATTGTGTCAACGAACACATGCCAGTTTGGGTTCGCAAAACGGTTGTGGATACCACAATACCGGGCCCAAGTCAGAATGTGACAAGTCACTAGGAACCAGCGTTATCTATCGCCCGACACCTGTCGACTTGTCGACCCCAGTTGAACCTGGAGAAGGCGATTCGGATACGATACGCAACAAAATATCGAAGGCTTCTCCGGTTCGCAGAGGCGGTAGCAATTAGCAAATGCAGGCCACTCCTCTGCGTACAGAAAGACTTGTTCGTCAGTACTAGATTGCCCTGGTAACTGATGTGTATGGATGTGTGTGCGTTTGTGAGGTTGTGTGGTTGTTGAATTTGTTGTTTAGCCAATGATGATGACCGCTTCGTGGATGGGTCCACGTCATGATGTCACTCGCATTCAGCTGGAATCGGGTGTTCGTGATAGCCAGCTCGTGGGTAGCAAATAGGTGGAGCAGACAATCACCGTTCTCACTGTCGCACGACCGCATGCTCAGGCAAATGTCGGTGACTACTTCGTGGGTAAGTCTACGCCGTAATATCGCTCGCAAACAGCTGAAATTAAGGGATTGTAATAGCCAACTCTTGAGTAGCATAGACGACCACCGTTCTCACTGGCTGAACCAATGCCGTAGGGTCTGAAGACTCCCGGCCAACCTACCGAGTCACGCCTGACTCGACCGTTGAAGTTACCCAGAAAAAACAGCCGGTCACTCACCGGTGCCAACCAGATTGTGGCGGACATTTACTCATAGAACTGATCCTTCGTATTATCAGTGTGACACATAGTTACAAGATAAACATTAACTAATGTGGCACACTTACCTCGACTGAGTTGCAGACGCATAGACAGCATTCGAGGGCTGATGTCGTGTGGTTCACTTATCATCGAAGCGTTGATGCGATCAGCGACTGCAAAACAGACACCATGTTCCCGAGCATCGTCTGTCGGGTAGCCTATCCAGTAGATGGTATACCCGGCACCTGCTTCGCGTAACTTACCTTGTTCCGCAAGCCTAATCTCACTCAAGGCTGCTACGTCGATTCCATAGCGGCGCAGTTCTATTGCAATCAGTGCAGTGCGCCGTTCAGGAGCGTGCGCACATTCTATGTTCCAACATAGAGCGTCTTGCGTCTTCGGGTTACTGAAACTTGAGTGAGCAACAAACATGATACTTGTGAAGAATGTGTTACGCCCTTTACCCCGCACCATCCCGCTCAGTTCGACCACCACTCACCTGTACCAACATTTTACCCCAAGTCGTAATTAGTTAACCAAAAACGTGTACGATTCGAATGTTTTGTGTCGACCAAAACTATGCAGATATATGGTTTTTCTGGACAGGTCGGATTTCGAGAGAACAAAGGTCTTCAAATAAGACAACATTTTTGAACAGGCTGCCCGCATCGATCTCGATAACGCAACAAGTTTTTCTCATCATGACACAGATTAAACGGTCAAATAAGACGTGTTGACAGAGAGTGGAATGATACGACTCAGTGACCGGGCCACAAAACTGAGAGGTGCCAAACTACGTTTATTGTTTTTACAGTATGGGCATAATACGTTAAGTCAGAGTCCATAAACGGCGTAGAAAACGTAAAATCGCGGTACGACATGCCTCAGATTCTATGAGGAAATTGTTGGTTTTCGAGCATTCTTTTAGCACTTTGTAAGTCTGTTTTGTTTCTGAATGAATGATTCGTTTAGTGAAATAATTATTATGATAGCACAGCCTGTTGAGATAGTATTGCATGTTTACTCTGTCTATTTGCATTCACAGATGCGTTGTACGCTGGAACGATGAAACGGTTACAGAGATGTTTGTCAACAGCCAGGTGGTCCATGGTAGCCCAAGTGCTGGGACGATGGATCCGAGCGACCTGACCTGAAATGCGCGTACACCCCCGTGCCAACTAGTCCGGGTTTGCTTACAGTGGTGTGTTATACCCGTTTTGGGCAGGCCCTTTGGTTCGGGGTCCGGAATTTGTACCCGGGTTCATACTTCGGGGACGATAAGATCTGTGAGTATTGATTAGTAATAAAATACAAACATACTGGGTGGATAACATGTGTACTAAGTCATTATGTCCATGGATTTCTAGGGCGTACATGTATAACTGTACCATAAAGAAAGTCATATTCGAGGTTTGTTGGCAGCTACTGTATTTAGAAAGTCCTGTTATTCAGGCTCTTCCCAAACAAGACATCAACTTCGTGTTTTGCTCCTATTACAGATCGTCAATAGCGCATATCTTTGCTACGATATGGATTTGAACGCCAATCTCAATTACAGGGACTTCTATTGGACATAGCATGTCAGTTACTGTTTTTCCTATTAAGACGGTTGGATCACCTCAGCACTGCTTACACATAAACGGGGTTAAACCTCCAGATGTAGAATAATTCAATCATGTCCAAATTGAGGTCACTGGCGCATGCATCAGTTCCTCTGCTTAATGGTGATGTGGACCGGAGTTCGAATCCAGATCGTGACAGCACTGACAAACTCTAACAAGAGTGAAAACAGTCTAGTGCTTCTTTTTGAAACAGTCTTTTCACAAGTCTATCTGAAAGCGAAAAACCCGATCAAGCTTTGATTCTTGTTCATTTTGTGATAACTGAATTTCTTATCGCATAGTTGTTCATGCGTAAATAATGTTGAACGAAGACAGTTAATCACGACCGCCCCAACAAAGAGCAGAAAATGCCAATTAGTGTGACGCGCTACAGTGTTTCCCGTCAAACTGACGTTAAATTGATGACGTATGTTAAGATGTGTCGGAAAATTAGCGAGGCGGAAAATTTGTGTGCACCTGGATGAATGAATTAATTTGCCTGATCACAAGCTGAAGCAACTGATGGTTGTGACCGATGCAAATTTTGCCACAGCTGAACACATAATCTATACACTTACCTGCTTGGCACACGTGGCTCCTGTTACAAGATCAGACAGGAGCGGTTTCTTGACTGGGGAACGTTCAACCAATCAGAGCTCACGCGTAAGGTGTCTTGACTTGACTTGCAAAAAGTGGAATTTTGGTCGATCGGCACCAACCAGTCAAAAACGGTGTTCCGCTTTACATCGAATTTGTCTGGAAGCGATGTTTAAATCAAGTTGGTTGAATGCCCGCTGGAATTAAGCAACCAAGCTGCTTAAGTGAAGTTCGTGAAACTTGGTGACAAACGGGCCAACCAAAACCCAACATGCTTATTGTCCAACAATAAACGTAAATCTGTTGGTTCTTTACAAAAAGAACTTTTCTCCCGGTAACTTGTCATTAATACAATGTCAATGCTCATCGAGGCGTTGGTGGAAGGTAGCGTGAACTGTTCGATAAATTCTGTTGGATCATTTGGTAGATTCCGTATGACAGTTGGTTGGATGAGTAACTAGGTCCAAATGTGAGATTTCTGAGCTTCCAATGTGGCTTTGTAGCTCAGCTGTTAGAGCAGTTGCCACGTCTAGGCATGTTTCTGTCGTTGGTTCGAATCCAGCCGAAGTCCACAATTATTCCCAACCGGGCCACGTCTAAATCAAGATTAATTGGTATTACTGAGATCGCTGTTGTGCGGATTTTCTCGACACGGTAGGCGGAACAGTTGATTAAGTCAGTAGCGTTTTGCATGGAGGCGCACATACAATTTGACGGCTAAGTCGCTTGACCTCGGACTCGGCTTTGTCAGTTCCAAAGTTGCCTAAATACCATGGTAGATGAAATACACTTTCCTTGAGAAGAATAGAAACAGTCCTCAATTTATCGGTTATAAGGCGACTTAATGACAAGTTCGAAACCGCTGTCCATCATAAACCAAAAATAACTGATGTCATTCTCAAGTTCAACAGCAGCCACCCAACCTCATAGTAGAAGCTGCGTGCGAAAGTTGTTTCAATGTGCAGACACACATAGTAGCTCAGCTGAACTTAGAAGACAAGAACGAGGACTAATTTCCAAACTGTTTACTTGCACCAGAGGGTCCACAAGAACTGAACGTGCAGGACACAAAACGCGAATGGCAGTATCATCTTCACGGCATATCTGAAATAACATAAAGGGCACTCTATCACTGGGCATCCTGGTATCACACAGGTCGAACTTAACACTCCGTTTACCTTTGGTGAACGCCCAGGTTCGTGTAGAACCACGTGAATATTTTGGCATGATCTGCTTGCGCACATGGGTGCACAAATACAAACTGGCAGTGCGACGGGCCAACCATAGATCACGCCTATGGCACCAAGATGCAGACACAGTTCACGAGGTCAGCAGAAATCATACGAAACTGGGCACACAGACCTAGGGGTTTAGGTCATGTATTAAGGATACCAGCTAGTCGTCTCCCACACCGAGCACTGTGTGCCGACGCTGCGGCCGGTTAGCGTAAGGTGCGAGGTGGACAGATGATGACCTGGAGTAGGGAAATGAAATCGTACACGAAAGGGTTGGTCACTGTAGATTGGGTTCGTCTCCCGGGCTGAAGCCGTCGCGACTCACAGAGTCGGTGGCTTGAGACGTGAGGTGAGTTGGCTGCTAACCGACCTCAGTGGCCTGAATATTGTCGTTGTTTGTCCGAGTTATCTGTGAAGTAAATGCACTTAATTACGCGGAGTAATGAAAGCCGTAAGGAAGCTGTCATGTTGACGGCGCCTTACTTTCACCTACAGCTCGGTTGTTTGTGTAAAGTGTAATCGCCTTGATGTTGTATGTTTGAATATAGACGTAGCTATTTTTAGTAATTAGGCTCCCATTCCCTTCTTTTTTCGTTCTTCCTATACAGGGTTTGCCTTTTCTTCTTCAGGGTTGTGTAGCAGTTGAGCATAAGTGTGAACCACTGATCTATTGCTGTCTATGATGAGAATGATGACACGAACAAAAATGGGAGGGGACCGGGTTGCACTGGATGCTCTCTATTCGCGAAATTCATTCAATTTACACGTGTATCTAGTCAGCTACTATATCACCATCGTTGACGCTGAAACGTAAGATGAGTCAAGACAGACCAACAGGCGAACACTGTGAGTGGCAGAACACTCTTAATCAGGAACGTATTTATTTGTCCGACAACAAATCCCAGTGTTGAGTAGAAAGGTTACAATAAAATCGTTCAGTACTCACCGGATTCCTCCCTATATATATATATATATATATATATATATATATATATATATATATATCACCGGGAAATTCATGGGACTGTGGAGGTTGCAAATAACAGTAAGTAGTGCTCAAATTGTATCAAGCAATGGTCTTACTACTTACCAGTAAGCAAAACATGGCTCAACAAGTGTAATGATTTCTGTGATTTCAACTTGAAGAGGGTTACCAGTCGTGGGGTCATTGAGTGAAGTTAACGTGACAGTTACTGTGTCTCCTCTCAAGGCGACTGGACAATCTGAGCATTACTCATGAGCGAACATGACTGATTGTTTACATATGATGATTCAGTTATGCCTGATGTGGAGTCAGTGACACAATAAGGGACACGGTTGCCTTGTGACAGCATAGCTCGAGTTCTAATCCTCGCTGTGGCGAAGATATGCCTTACTGACGAGCACTGACAAGAACGAAACCCCAGTGTAAGACTTGTAATATCCCATGTTTGGGGGACTCAAGCAAACAATAGTGGTTCACTGTACAAGAGATGGAATGTTTACGTACTAGAACGAATAGTACAGAAGTTAATCACATAGTTGGTGAGTTGAAAATCGTATTCACAACTGCCCAAATTCGTAGGAAGGGTTTATTCAACAACACATGCTAAATCGGAAGCACGACAACCTGTAATGTACAAATCATCATCTAAAACAAACGTCTTACAATTACTTATTGTTAACTTTCGTTCTTGTTTTCTGCGCTTGGTCTTGGTATGTGGCTCCTGAGAAACCTGGAAGGAGGAGGAGGAGGAGGAGGGAAAAAGCAAAAATTGTTGGGTGTGCAGTTTGGTTGACATCATTACTGTTGCATACTTCTTTACTGAATGTGAAAGTTACTTTCATGTCTGAATTAAACTTTATTTAAAACAATGTCTGGCGTTGATAAAGTTTGTTTAAAAAGCAAACTGGTCCATTTGTGTATCAGTTTTGTCGTTTATCTCAGATTGGATGGAGTCGATAAATTAGTGTGGATATTCAGAGCACTGGTATTAAATGGGCTGAAACTCAATATGTGTCATCATCCTAGACAGTCTTTTGAGTAAGATGCCAAAAAATAATACTTGGGTGAAGAAATTCTGCGGAAGCCTATGATGGATTTAGTGGCTATTGCCACTCACCAACTATGTTTACCCGGTAAGCTTTGATTACACATTATGTCGTGCTAAATGCAAATGACGAACTATGAGGTTAGTTATTGATCTAAGGATTTGAAGCAGACTGAGCTCTTGCAAAGTTCTTAGCATCCGTACTGATTTGCAATCTCTACTGTTTTTGAGATAAATGGTGCATGTAACTCATGGGTGCAGTATTGACCATATATTTCAGCACCTGCCTAGTGAACGTCCACCGGTTACGCATACTCAATGCGTGAATTTTACCTTTTGTGCAGGTTAGTTATCAAGGGGATGGAGCGAAAACTCCATTCGCAATTTTCTACCATTCATGCATTCCAATTTTTCCCTATTCAGATAAGTTGACTCATTTTGTGAAATGCTTTCATCGATACACTTCTCAGGTTCTCTATATCTTTCAAGTTAGATCTATTCGTAGATGTGGTGATTGTCACTAAACCTAATTCTGAGTATTATTGTTTTATTACATAGTAAATAATAGTAATGGTACGAACAATTGCGCTCGAAAGATAAATGTATGGATTACTCGATTCAAGTGGTTATTATTGCTGGGTGGAAATTAGTTGCGGGCTTGAGCTAAATCAATTACTCTATTCCTCTTTTACTGCAATCATCGTAGTAGGTCGAACCAAACACTTGACGTAATGATATTATGCAGGTTTAATGAATTATTCACATCACTGAGTAGCACACAATGTGTGTGTGTTCAATAATGATCACTTTTTCCTTCTCAACCAAACAGCGAGAAAAACTACCACTTGTTTCACGCTGGGGAAAACTTGAACGCACCACTGAGGCTGCCCAATCCATCACTGATCGATCGATTGATGACCAAGGTGACCAATGCGGGAGAGTGAATTCTTCTGTTCATCGTAATGTATTCGTGTATATTTTGTCTTGACTTTCGAAATCAACTGTACCTTAGTGTCTGTAACCTTTTAAGAGGAACATGTAAAGTGGAGCGACATGAAACACATATAACGTTACCATGTTGGGTGATAAAAAGTCTATCGTTCATTCATGCAACAGACGGTTTAGTTCTTAAGCTGCAATCTGCTTTCGTTCAGGTGTATTAATTATTTCGTCGATTTCAGAGGAAAAACTACCCTCAAAATGTCCCGAAGCGGTTTGTACATTCTCCTATGGCCCAATAATATTACTGTTCTCCGAAACGTTGTCAGAAAATTCAGTTTCAGTTTCCACTAACTAAGCTCTTTTTCCACCCTTAACAAGGGCAACGTTTCGACAGCGACAGCGGATCATTTGGGGGCTTTGTTCACCCCAGTCGACTTTGTATTTTGCTAACATAGGTGTTAAGTATGATACATAAATAAGAACAGCAGTTAAGTAATCTACATAGCCAAATCGACAATCTTATCAATGAGGCGAGAGGTTTGTTACCCGGTTCGTATATCAATGCCATTGATGATGCAATCTCACTTATACACCAGAATTCTAGCCCACATCACATCGAGGGTTCCATGTAGATTTCATGTATATTTCTTTCCGATCACACCCGCTTGGCCAGCGTCTTATGTTCAAGATTTTCACCTATCGTTTCTCGTCTTCTGAATATATATTTCTCAGTTTGTCACATTACTCGTAATCCACTAGCCTTTGGAATTAACAGCACTCTGCATCTGGAGTGAATTATTTTACGGTTGTAAGAAGCACTGCTGCGCGAGTTGGTTATTTTGTCACACGGGTGCTCACAGTTTCAGAGCCCTTTCTACTCAAAAAGCACTTGCTGTTACCCACGATCCGAATAAAAGAATTCCTATTTTATCTCGATTCGGCAGTCCCTCTTCCCGGTCGTCTACGATGCACAACCTCAACGTGGGGACCGCCAATAATGTTTAGCAATCGTCTGAGTCCAGTTCGTTTGTTTGACAATTTTCTTACAGTTACAAATAAGTACTGTTGAGAGTTTACGTATCATACTTCACTCATGCCTCATGTGAGTTGAGTGGCACAGTGGTCAAAACGGTTGTCTCATGATCACGTGGTCGGAGTTTGAATCCATGGCGCACCAAGCATATGCGTTGCCGACTAGCCGTAACAAGAACGAAGCTCCAGCATAGTGCTTCCTACCGAAAAGCGTTAGCTATATGCCCTGTCGGTATGTAACCACTGCAATCAGTGGTGGAAAATGTTCAATTTGAATCTCAATACCTTTTGCTATGTGCACCTCCGTGTCGGTCAGTAACTTCCCGTTTTTA